TTCCCTTACCACATAATAATCAGAACACTAAACATACAAAACAAAGAAAGAATACTAAAAGCCATAAGGGGAAAAAAAAAGCAAGTAATTATAAAGGCAGACCTATTAGAATTACACCTGACTTCTCAGTGGATGCTCTAAAAGCCAGGAGGGCCTGGACAGATGTGCTACAGACACATTCCCTTCAGCTTCTGAAACTGTAGTCTGTCCCCCTCTCTCATAGCAACAATGGCTCTTTGCTACATATACTCATATATTCATTTTCTCAACTTATGAAAATTGTACATGAGTTTATAACATTGTTTACAAAGTTAGATGCTTGGTTGTCTTCAAAAATACATACAAAAGCCGGGCAGTGGTGTCACACGCCTTTAATCCCAGCACTCAGGAGGCAGAGACAGGTGGATCTCTGTGAGTTCGAGGCCAGCCTGGTCTACAAGAGCTAGTTCCAGGACAGAAATCAAAAGCTACGGAGAAACCTGTCTCAAAAATCCAAAAAAAAAATATATACAAAATAAACCATATTTTTCTAGACTCAAATGAACTTTACAACCAGGGATCTTGATTTTTCTCTGATGTTGGAGACTCATTCACATACAAGTTGAGGAACATGAGGCTAGGAAGGAAAAATGGACATGACAGGGAAAAGAAGAAGGGTAGCCAGAATCACCAGCACCATATTATCTTACATGAAGAAACTTTCGTGTTCTTAAAAAGAAAAAGAAATGATAAGACACTGAGGGACCAACGGTGCAGATTTTCACAATGAAAGCCTTAGTCCTGAGAGACACAGAGAGGGCAAGGAGATGCAGGGAATGTGAAAACCTAGAACACATTCGTTTTTGTGTGTTTCCTGGAATGAATCTTTGATTGCTTTCCAAAAGAGTTAACTGAGATTAGCAACATATTTACAAATAAAGTGTAGAACCGAAAAGAATACCATATGGAATTTAAAAACCCAAGCACAGCTTAAATTCAAGCTATGATGGTCAGTAAATAAATAGATGTTCCAAGAGTGTATGCAAGGACAAGAAGGGTCAGAATTCTAATAATCCATAAGCCAAATCAAATCTTTACAAGCAATACTCAAAACTTAGGCTCGGGCAAAAATCTTTACTCTTTCCAAGGTCAGCACAAGGAGTACTAAGAAGTTCATGCTTGAAGCTGAAGAGCAAAAAGAACCTCCAGTTTCTTGCACAAAGCAAGGCATTTTTTTCAGAGATCATGCACACAGTGACCAATCAGAAGTCACAAGGTCAGATTTGTCTAAAGAGTATCTTTCAAGTTTAGTGATAAAGCAAACAGAAGGATCAGCAGCACAGCCAGAACACATTTGGAAATGTCATGGCCAAGTCCTTATGAAATGTTTAATTCCAGTGACACAATTGAAAAAAGGCCTGCGTTTTCCACATTAAATGTTTCCCAACAATAACTTGTCTCTATGTTTCATTTCCTTTGTGTGATAGAAAGCTTCCATATATAAAAGTATGGAAAATTGGCAAATGTCTGGGACCAGTCTTTCTGACATCTGCAGTTCTCTTTCCAAGTGCATCCAAAATTAGATACTTACAGCCTGGTCAGCTCCCTATCTCCTCTAAGGAGAGGAGCCAAAGTCAAGACCAGCCAGGTAGCCAATCTGGATGCTTAAAACCATGTCATTTCTATGAGTATAACCTGAGAGCCACCTGGCTTTCAGAAAAAGAGCCTAAGACTTATTGAATGTGACCACATAGATTTTATGGTTTTGGTTTTGGTTTGGTTTGGTTTCTTGACTGGTTCTCACTGTAGTAGTACTAGTTGGCCCAGAATTTACCATGACAGACAAGGGTAGCCAGGATTCAAAGAATTATTAGACTCTACTCTTCCTCTGGATTTTACAACTTTTTTCTGATAATTTTTTATTACTTTATAAATAATACCATTCAAAATTTCCACTTCTTCCCCTCCTCCCACTTCCTTTGCTCCCACACTAACCCTTCCCCACCCCTCCAGTCCTAAGAGAGGGCAGGATACCCTGCCCTGTGAGAAGTTCAAGGCCCTCCCCCTCCATCCAGGCTTAGAAAGGTGTGCATCAAAATAGACTAGGATCCAAAAAAGCCAGTACATGCAGTAGAGACAAATCCCAGTGCCATTATCATTGGCTTCTCAGTCTACCTCAATTATCACCCACATTCAGAGGGTCCAGTTTGATCCCATGCTCGTTCAGTCCCAGTCCAGCTGGATTTGGTGAGCTCCCATTAGTTCAGGCACACTGTCTCAGTGGGTGGACCAACCCCTCATGGTCCTGACTTACTTGCTCATATTCTCCCTCCTTCTGCTCTTCAACTGGACCTTGGGAGCTCAGTCCAGTGTTCCCATGTGGGTCTCTGTCTCTGTCTCCATCTGTCACCAGACAAAGGTTCTATGGTTCAAGATAGTCATCAATCTGACTACGGGACAAGGCCAGTTCAAGCACTCTCTCCTCAACTGCCAGGGCCCTAGCTGGGGTCGTCCCCATGGACACATGGAAACCCCTCTAGAGTCAAGCCTCTTGCCAACCCCACAATGATTCCTTTAATTAAGACATCTTCTTCTCTGCTCCCATATCCATCCTTCCTCCATCTCAACGATTCCACTCCCCCAAGCTATCCCCAACACTCCCCCCTTCTCACTTCTCTCTTCCCTTCTCCCCTTCCCCCCACCCCACCCCAACCCCATGCTCCCAACTTTTGCCTGGCAATCTTGTCTGCTTCCAATTTCCAGGAGGATCTATATATATTTTTCTTTGGTTTCACCTTATTACTTAGGTTCTCTAGGATCACAAACTATAGGCTCAATGCCCTTTGTTTATGGCTAGCATCCACTAATAAGTGAGTACATACCATATTCATATTTTTTGGTCTGAGTTATCTCACTTAGGATAGTGTTTTCTATTTCCATACATTTGCATGCAAAATTCAAGATGTCATTGTTTTTACTGCTGAGTAGTACTCTAATGTGTAGATGTGCCACACTTTCTTTATCCATTCTTCCATTGAGGGGCATCTAGGTTGTTTTCAGGATCTGGCTATTACAAATAATATGAACATAGTTGAACAAATGCTTTTGAAGTATGATTGGGCATCTCTTGAGTATATTCCCAAGAGTGGAATTGCTGGATCCTGAGGTAGGTTGACTCCCAGTTTCCTGAGAAACCGCCACACTGATTTCCAAAGTGGTTGCACAAGTTTGTATTCCCACCAGCAATAGATGAGTGTTCCCCTTACTCCACATCCTCTCCAGCATGCGTTATCATTGGTGTTTTTGATTTTAGCCATTCTGACAGGTATAAGATGGTATCTCAAGGTTGTTTTGATTTGCATTTCCCTGATTGCTAAGGAGGTTGAGCATGACCTTAAGTGTCTTTTGGCCATTTGAACTTCTTCTGTTGAGAATTCTCTGTTCAGTTCAGTGCCCCATTTTTTAAATTGGATTATTTAGAATTTTAATGTCTAGTTTCTTGACATTCTCTTAGATTCACCATTATCTTTAAGTGTTTCATGGTTAGACTGAGAGAAGGCCAGAATACAGATGACATTGCCTAAGGTCAAGACAAAGAAAATTAAAACTTTGACTGCCAAGAGGACAATGAGCAATGCCAAAGATCAGAGTCTAAAATGCCAAAGCCCTAAAAGAAGACAGGAATCTCTGAAAAATGTAGCAAGAAAGACTCTTCAGTTTGTAGCAGCTCAAAACACATCAAACAAGAAATGGCAACAGAGTCAGGAAGATGGATATCTGCATGAATTAGAATTATAAAGCGGAAAAGTATGCTGTAAGGGAGCCAGCCAACCTGGCCCCAGGACCAGCTTTGGACCTAGAAGAATTATTCCTGGTAAAAGCAGCAGCCGTACAAAATCGTGGTGTGAAAAAATGGCATTGACCTATCTGGGTCCATTACTGCTTAGAATGGAGTGCACAAGAATGCACATGGACTAGTATCTGAACAGCATAGCTTTCTAGGAAAGGGCTAGGCTTATTTTAATATTTTATTGAAAAACAATACACAGAGACCAAAAGTCAGAAAGAATAAATGATACTTAAAAAGCCATTTTAAAGTAGATATCCATATGTAGACTTGGAGAATTGGCTGAGCAGTTAAGAGCACTTGACACTCTTCCAAAGGATCCAAGATTGGTTCTCAGTCCCGACCTGAAAGGTTCACAGCTTCCTAAGTCTAGTTCCAAGGGATCTGTCTTCTTCTTCTTCTGGCCTCCTTGGACAGAGGTGGTGCTCACAAACAACACATCTGCACCATGACACACCATAACCTGTGCTGGTGACTTTTGAAGCTCCTCCAAGGACTCTGTGTCAGTCACAATTCCTTTCATCCCAAGAACAATCACTACCCTTTACCTAATCTGTTGTTTGTTTATGGTGTTGCCCCCCCCCCCATGTGACTCCCTGGACAACACAGTTTGTAATTATTTTTCATCTCTTTTCATCTAAAAATTCCCTTCCATTCATTTTTCTTCCTGTCAGTTTATCATTTCATGGTGTCATTGTTTTTTACCACTGAGTAAAGTTACCACATTTTCCTTATCCATTCTTCAGTTGAGGGGCATCTAGGTTGTTTCCACGTTCTAAATATTATGAATAATGCTGCTATGAACATATTTGAACAAATGTGCTTGTGGTATGATTGAGCATTCTTTGGGTATATGCCCGAGAATGATATAACTAGGTCTTGAGGTAGATTGATTCCCAATTTTCTGAGAAACCTAGGCTTATCTTATCAATATTTTTATTTAGAAATAATTTACAATATTATTATCAATTCTGGTAGTGTTTCTATCACTAATTTTTTGACATTATGATTATTATATTTTTCTCAATGCCAGTGCTGCTCAGCCTTCAGCGTAACTTCAGTTTTCATGAAATAAACACTGACTATATAAAATTTTACTTTTCTGGAACTGAAATCTGAGATCAGGTCAAAGTGTCTTCTTTCCCATGAACCTGAACCTGTGTTCCATTAAGAGTTTAAGGTTCTGCAAGTGAGAGAACTGTGCTTGGGTCCTGCCTGCAAGTCGCAGTGGCCTCACTTCACAGCTGAGTATGTCTGTGTGTGTCTCAACCCCAGCAGAAGTCACAAGGCTTAAGACAGCGGTTGACCCAGACTGCCATACAGGTCCGGTCTGTGATGCTGGAACACAGGCAGGTGTTGGCACATCTGTCGCAGAAAGTTGAGATCAATTCGGGCAAGGCAGAGGCCTGGTCCCTCGGAGCAGCGGGCCACCACCGTACCCCAGGGGTCCACCACCATGCTGTGGCCATAACTTGCTCTTGTCTCATGGTGGCGTCCACACTGTGCTGCCGCTATTACATAGCACTGAGATTCAATGGCTCGGGCCTGCAACAACACCTCCCAGTGGGCAGGTCCAGTAACCGATCCAAAGGCTGAAGGATAAGTAAGTATTTCTGCCCCAGCTTGAGCCAATTTCAGAGAAAGTTCAGGGAACCGCATGTCATAACAGATTGCTAAACCCACCTGCTGGTGTGCTGATGGGTGGCTCGAGAGTGCGTCCAGGCATGGTAGAGTTACTTTCCCGCATAGGCCCCTGACCTGGGATCTCCACATCGCACAGATGTGTCTTCCTGTACTGGGCCACTACTAGCCCCTTGTTGTTCAGAAGCACATGACAATTGTAGATTTTCTGAGTCTGCTCCCAGTCTTGGCCACGCTCGTGGAATCCACCCAAGGACAGCCAGATTCCACATTCCCTGGCAAGCTGGCTATATCGTTCCATAAGGTCCCCATCCAGTGGCTCAGACAGTTGTAATGTCTCAGCAGGATTTTGTGCAATGAAGTCAAATGCCTCAGGCAGAAAAGCCAGGCAAGCACCCAGTCTGGCCGCCTCGAGAACCAGCTCAGCACATGTTTTAAAGTTCTCTTTCTTGTTTGGGATTGATGTTACCTGGCACACAGCCACCAGGGGCAGCTCCCAGGAAGTTCATGAGGACACCGCCATGGCTCTGGGCCTCAACTTCCAGTGATCTCACATTTAAAACTGAAGCCCTTTTTCTCTGCCAAAGGTTTCCGCAGCTCAAGTCATCTCATGGAACCTTCCTCGTTTCCCCAATTCTCACTTCTCGGCTGTGACACCTGCACAGCTTTATAGACTCAACACATATCTTTCCCCTTCCACCAGTATTTCGGGAGGAACGTTCACTCTCCCTAGATCCCCACCATCTTGTGGTGGGTAGGGGGGCACAGGACCAGATCCCAACCCTAGACCCCGCCCTGTGATTAGCGCGTCCTTCCTGCCTCTCCTTGGGACAAGAATCTCTGTTGTACAAGTTAAAGCATCGCAGGTGGAATTCACTGCAGCGGGCAGGGTTTGGGAGTAGGTCCTACACGAAGACACCGCCAAAACTATTCGCAGGGTAGATCACTAAATTTTTTTAATTGTTTCCATTGTAAATTCTATTATTGAAGGCTTTAAAAATATGTTATTTATTTCAAATCCCTGTAATGTTATAAATATGTATATAGGTATTCATGTATTAAATTTTTAAAAATTGTAAGGCCTTATAACTCTGAAGTTATTGTTTGGGGACACTCTTATATAGGTCTTATTTGCTCTTATGTGGTCTACAGACAAACAAGCAGGCAACACACAGCTTCCCACAAAATGATGTAGGTCAAAAGAAACCTGTCTTAGCCAAAGGTAGTGGTTGTGCACAGCTTTAATCCCAGCACTTGGGAGACAGAGACAGGTGGATCTCTGTGAGTTCGAGACAAGCCTGGTCTACAGAGGGGGTTCCAGGACAGGCTCCAAAGCTACAGAGAAAGCATGTCTTGAAAAAAGGAAGAAGAAAAGAAAGGAAAAGGAAAGGAAATAAACAAAGAAAAGAAAAGAATAGAAAAGAAGAAAAGAAAAGGACCTTGGGAGCTAGAGAGATGGCACAGAGGTTAAGAGCATTAGGTGCTCTTATAGAGGACCCAGGTTCAATTCCCAGCACCACATGGCAGCTCACAACTGTCTATAACTTCAGTTCCAGGAGATCTGACACCCTCACACAGATATACATGTAGGCAAAACACCAATGTACATAAAATAAAAATAAATTATTTTTTTAAAAAAAGAAAGAAAATAGCCTCTTTTACATATTGATTATGCTTGAAAATGAGTTAATGCATCTACTATAAACATGTGTTTGGACTATCGATGGATTTTTGTCCTGCACCATGCTTGACGGTCTATATTTTGATGCTTCTGGATTCATGACTCAGTGTCACATGGTTCCTTCTTTTCTAGGTTTTGGCAAACTGATGCCTGTAATCCAAGATAAATCAGTTTCATGTTCACACTTTTTAGTAAGATCACAGAGGACAAACTACCATTTCACCAATAAGCAGATAACACATACCCAATGAGTTTTTTATTTGTGCTTTGCTTCATGCATGTGATGCTACAGTTATTGACATCCAGTATCTAAATATTAACTGCCTGGGGTTTCAAAGTGGTGGTATTGGGGATACAGTTATTCAGTTGGAACTTATTTCTAGAAGAACATTTCCTTAAATACTACTGTTACATTTTTTTAATGGTAGCTATGTGTAATTATGCATATCAAAATAACTGTTTGGAAAACTCAAAGACTCGGAGACTGATTCAGCAATCACAGGGCCTGTATGGATCTGCACCAGGTTCCCTGCATACACACTACAACTTTCACTTCAGTACTTTTATGGAGCACCTGAATCTGTGAACAAGTGGGTCTCTGATTCTTGTGCCTGCTCTTGGCGCTCTTTTATTTTCTGTTGGCTTGGCTTGTTTAACTTGGTATGATAATTTCTATTTTATCTTAGTATATTTTATTTTGTTATGTTTGTTATGTCTTAGAAGCCTATTCTTCTCTAGTGAAAGACAGAAAGGGAGTGGATGTGCATGGGCAAAGAGGTGACGAGGAACTGGGAGGAGTAGAGGAAGGGGAAATGGTATTCAGGTTATATTGTGTAAGAAAAGAATCTATGTTTAATAAATGAGAAAAAATAAAAAATACTTAAGAAGTTTAAAAAATAACTACTCAACTATTTCCCTTTACTTGCCAGCTTAAAAGACAGTGAATTAAGTCAAACTCCTGGGCAGAGGTCTGTAATCCCTGCTACGTACGAGACTTTGATGAGAAGATTGTAAATTCAAAATCTTCTGGAGCTACAGCATCAGCCAAGGTTAGTCCAGGCAATTTAAGGACACTTTGTCTCAAAATGAAAGGCAACAAAGGCTCTTCCAAAGGGGCAGAATTCAGTTCCCAGCACCCCACACCCAGCAGCTGACTCCTGTAACTCCTGTAACTCTGCTCATACACATAGACACACACATAGATACATCATATTAAATTTTAAATGTAAAAGAAAATAACTGAAAAGGGAAGTGAGGGTGTCTTCACTGGAAGAGAACCCTCACCTATGTGCGTGAAGTCTTAAATTCAATCCCTAAACCACAAGGGGAAAAAGGAAATGAATTACACTTCCTCTGGAAACACCCAGAATCCCAACATTAGCCAGAAGAAACTTCTTTGAGTGTGGTCTTAAGTGCTTCTGAAGTGGACACTAAAAATTTGTATAACTTCTTCATCAACCAATGTGACAAAACATTGCAATTACATCATGTTCATTCCATGCTCCAGACCTGAAACTGATCATTCCTTCAAAACACCTGACTTATTTTTATGACCAAAAAAAAAAAAAAATCAACACCTCAATCCAGTATCATGGGTGCACGGTTCCATGAGTGTGCACATGGAGATCAATGTGAACACACATATTTTTAAATTGAAAATAGGTTTATTTAATACAATATATTCTGATCATAGTTTCCCATACCACAACTCCTCCCATATCTTCCATATTTTCCCACCCATCCAAATCTATACCCTTTCTTTCATGCTTCATTAGCATACAAACAGGCATCTAAAAAATAATTATAATATAAAAGAGAAATAAACAAATCAGAATAAGAAGAAACAAGCAGAAGAAAAAAAACAAAAAAAGCACAAGAAACACATACAGACACAGAGACATCCCACAGAAATCACATAAATCACATACATCACACAGAAATCCCATAAAAACACAACACTGGAAACTATAATATATACACAAAAGATCTGTAAGGAGAAATAAAATAAATATAGTGCCCACAAAAAGCATTATACGACAAAGAATGTCCAAAAATATCATTAAGTTCATTTTGTGTTGGCCATCTCCCATTGTTCATGAGGTATATCCTTAGGAGGGATCTGCATACTTGTCGAGATTCTGGTGAGACACCTAACTTGGATACAGTTTCTGGATTAGGGATGAGGATTTGTGTCTACCTCTCTCAGCACTGGCACTCCCATTCGGTTTAGACGTGTGCAGGTCCTACGCATGCTGCCATAGTCTCTGTAAGCTCATGCATTTGTCAGTCCTGTATCTGGAATGCCTGTTTCCTGGGTGTCCTTATTCCTCTCTGACTCTTACAATCTTTCTGCCTCCTCTTCCTCAGGGTTCTTGAGCCCTGGGGGGAAGGATCTGATGGAGGCATATTAATCTTTCTGTCTATTCTACCATAGAGCTGTGAAGGGAGAGATTGATGGAGATAATCCCATTTAGAACTGAGTGTTCTAATGTCTCTCATACTCTGCACACTGTATTGTGTGTGTCTCTGTTCTGTTGGAGTCTAGTCTCAACAGAATTTGGACATTCCAGAGTAGGAGTGTGAGGATTAGAAATATTAAGCAAAAGGAAAAGTAATAAAAAACAGAAACACAGAACAGAACCGGAAAGACATTCAGTGAACACTGAATTCTGAATCTACCTGAGATTATTTTTCATGTGCTTATATACTTCACTCCAAAAGGAGCAGCTACTCCCTGGAACCTTCTGCCAATCTCCATGAAGGAGCAGGAATAGACTTGAATTCTCAGATCTTTGGTCAAGGTGGAGTGGATTCATCTTTATGGGCCATCTTAATATCCAAAACACCAAGATCTACATCTTAGGTCAGGATAACTTGTTTGGAGTAACACCTGTTGTCAGCATCTTTGAAGAATAAGCTCACACTCTCTGACTGTTAGTCAAGGTGGAACAGACTCATAACTGTGGGCCCTGGCACAGTTTTTGTTCCCATCTACTGCAGGAGGAAGCTTCTCTGATGGTGGCTGAGTAAGATACTGATCTATGAGTATAGCAGAATGCTGTTAGTAGTCATTTTATGACTATTCCTTTAGCAGAATGTAGTATTTGATTTCCCCCAGATCCATGCAGGTTCTTGACCTATTAAGGTTTATTTTAGCATTAAGCTCACTAAACCTCCCAGGGTTCAGAAAAAAAAATCACTATAGCAGGCAAAAATCTGACTAAAGGGGTAAAAACAAAATAAATTAACTCATGTAAGGAGGCCACTTGTTGGTTCCTGGCCACCCAGCTAGCTTAGACCAGAAATAATCACACAGAAGCTGTGTTAATTAAATCACTGCTTGGCCCATTAGCTCTAGCTTCTTATTGGCTAGCTCTTATATTAATTTAACCCATTTCTATTAGTCTGCATATCACCATGTGGCTATGGCTTACCAGGTAAAGTTCCCGATGTCTATCTCTGGCAGCTCCTCGGCTTCTCTCTGACTCCACCTTCCTTCTACCTTGCTATAGGTCAAGCCAGTTTCTTTATTCATTAACCAATATAAGCAGCACATAGTCAGAAAGACCTTCCACTCCAACACAAATCTTTTTATCACGTCTCATTTATTCTTTATATTGCCTCTCTAATGGCCATATTGTTCCTCATTCTTTGCTGTTCCTATTGTTCTCGCTGTGCTTGCTGTTTTCCTTCCCATGATGTTTCCAGTCTTTATAACCCACACAGACTATGGTCTCAACATGCATCTCAGAATCATTAAAAAAAAAAAAAGGTAGGACCCAGCAAGGCAGTACTCCAGAAAAAAAGTGACACTACCCAGGAAGGGTAACATCCCAGGGGAAATACCT